TCTCCCAAACGATTTTATCAACTTAGACTCCCAGAAGCAATATATAGGAGTTCTTGTTGTCTTGTTCTGTGCTTAGTGTCATCAGGCACTAATTTTTGTCGATCTTCAACCTGAGAGGTGTGAAACAATATCTCACTATGGGTTTAGCTTACATTTCCTTTCCCTGATTCCTGGTGAAGATGAGTAGCATTCATATATTCATTGGCGATTTAATTTTCTTCTTCAGTGAAATGCCCATTATCTTTTGCTCATTTTTCCATTGCCCATTTTTCCCCTGGGTAGTTTGTCATTTTCATACTGATTTAGAGGGGTTCTCTTTGTATTGAGTTTACTAATACTTTGTGGTTTATATGTGTTATAGTTAGCTTCTCCCAGGCTGTGGCTTTTCTTTATCCTTAGTCTTTCAATGTGTACAAATTTTAAATTTTAACATATGCATATGTATTAAATTTTCCCTTTTTGATTTCCCTTTTGGGTTTCTTGTCTAAAAAAATTATTATCCTAATATCTAGAAGTTGTAAAGTTTTGCTTTTTACGTTTTCACTTAAACTTCCTAGAATTTATTTTTGTGTCTGGTATGAGGAAGGGCTAACTGTATTTTGTCTTCTATAGCTAATAGTTGTCTCAGCACCATTGGTTAAATAGTTCATTTCCTTCCTGCTGATAAGCAATGACACATCTATCATGAATCAAGGTTCCGTATGTGTATGAGCCTGTGTCATTCCATGTTTCTGTTCTTGCACCAAGACCACATTCACATTTAATCATTGTGGTTTTAGAATGGGCTTGATATACAGTGGGGCCAGTGATCCACTTTGTTCTTATTCAAAATTGTCTTGGTTATTCCTGGATCTCAGTTCCTCCATAAAAATTTTGGAGCCACCTTGTAACGTTCCATGGAAAATCCTTTTGGAATGTTGAATAAAATTGATTTGGAATTGTACTAGAATTGTATAAATTGAAAAAGAATTGGCATTGGCATCTCGACTGTATTGAATCTTTCTATATGTGAATGTGATATAATTATCATTCATTTGGGTCTTTTAATAAAGTTTTATAAATGTCTTTCATATAATTAAGTAATTCATAGTTACCTTGTGGTTAACTTGGTAAATTGTTGCTGATATATGAAAATACAATTGCTATTTGTATGTTTTATATTGAGAAACCTTGCTAGACTCTTATTAATTCTAATAACTTGTAGGGTTTTTTTTTGATTCTCTAAAAAGCTGATATTATCTGCAAATAATGACATATTTCTTTCCCTTCCTTCTGCTTTTATTTGTTTTACTTAGTGTACTGGCTAAGAATAACTTCAAATACAGGCAATTCTGGGGTATCCTTGTATCACTTCTAATGTTAAACTGCTCTTAATGTTTCAGCATTAAGAATGACGCTTACCATAGTTAAAAAATTTTTTTTTTTTACTGAATACCCATTGTCAGGTTTAGAAAGCTCTCTTCTATTCCTAAGGATAATGAATTTATTACATTCTTGCTTTTCAAATTGTTGAGTTGCTCACTCATTATGCTTTAGAAGCATCCTAAAAGTTTTGATATATAGTCTTTTCATTATAATACTCTTTGAATGTTTTCTAATTTTCTCCTTTGACCTGAGTTAATTAGAAAGGTTTAAAATTTTTCCAATTATATGGATTTTTCAGATGTATCTTCTTGTTATTTATTTTTAACTCAACTGCATTGCGGTTAGGAAGGTAGCCCACATGAAAACCAATTCTTGGTATTCATTCACGAGCTTGAACTTTGTCACAGGATTGACCATCAGTTTTTGAATAGTTCCTGTGTATTTGAGAAGATTGCATTTTCTTTAATTTGGGGCACCAGGTTATATATGGTCATCTGCTCGGTTAAACCTATTAATCAAGTTAAACAAGTCTGTTACATTCATAACGATTTCTCTCAATCACTGTGTGAGTGGCATAGGAAACCCCTCCACTCTGATCGTGGATTAGATTTGGCTGTATATAACAGAAAAATAAATAGGTAACAGTATCTTAAATAAGATAGAAGTTACACAAGCTAGTCTGGACTTTGTTTATATGAAAGATAACTAAAATTCTATCTATGCCTACAGGTCCAAGGTGCTATAGTAGCTGCCTAGTGAGCCCAGAATATAGGTGTTACTGAACTTAGGTCTGGCTGCTCTCTGCTCAAAAGTCAATACTCAAGATTCAAGTGCTTTAGCAAAGGAAACCATAAACAAGATGAAAAGACAACCCTCAGAATGGGAGAAAATATTTGCAAATGAAGCAACTGACAGGGGATTAATTTCCAAAATATACAAACAGCTCATGCAGCTCAATATCAAAAAACAAACAACCCAATCAAAAAAAATGGGTGGAAGACCTAAATAGACATTTCTCCAAAGAAGAGATACAGATGGCCAACCAACACATGAAAAGATGCTCAACATCACTAATCATTAGAGAAATGCAGATCACAACTACAATGAGGTATCACCTCACACCAGTCAGAATGGCCATCATCAAAAAATCTAGAAACAATAAATGCTGGAGAGGGTGTGGAGAAAAGGGAACCCTCTTCCACTGTTGGTGGGAATGTAAATTGATACAGCCACTATGGAGAACAGTATGGAGGTTCCTTAAAAACCTAAAAATAGAACTACCATGTGACCCAACAATCCCACTCCTGGGCATATACCCTGAGAAAACCATAATTCAAAAAGATACATGTACCCCAGTGTTCATTGCAGCACTATTTACAATAGCCAGGACATGGAAACAACCTAAATGTCCATCAATAGAAGAGTGGATAAAGAAGATGTGGTACATATATACAATGCAATAGTACTCAGCCATAAAAAGGAACGAAATTGTGCAATTTGCAGAAATGTGGATGGACCTAGAGCCTGACATAAGAGTGAAGTAAGTCAGAAAGAGAAAAATAAATATCGTACAATACCGCTTATATGTAGAATCTAGAAAAATGATACAGATGAACTTACTTGCAAAGCAGAAATAGAGACACAAATGTAGAGAACAGATGTCCCCCCCGGGTGGGGGGAGGGGGAAAGGAGAAGTGGGATGAATTGGGAGATTGGGATTGATATATGTACATTACTATGTATAAAATAGATAATTAATGAGAACCTGCTGTGTAGCACAGGGAACTCTACTCATTGCTCTGTGGTGACCTGAGAAGGAAATCCAAAAAAGAGGAGATACATGTATACGTATAGCTGATTCACTTTGCTGTACAGTGAAACTAACACAGCATTGTAAAGCAGCTATACTCCAATAAAACTTAATTTTAAAAAGTAAAATTAAAATTAAAAAGAAAAGATTCAAGTGCTGGTAGAAACAGAAAGGTTGCTTTAATCAGAAAACCGGCATCCTGGGGAGAAGGTGGACTCATGTCTCAAAACCAACTCTGAAGATTTTGCTCAGCCATGAACATTTTTAAAGGGAAAAAGGGGGAGTAATCTCAATCATTGAGATAGGGGGTCAGCTTCATTGCCATCTCCCATTGCATGCAGGCTTGTCAACTCCTTGTAATCTTCCTTTAGATGCTATCTTGTTTTAACAGTTTGTTCATAGGATTACTGACAGGGAAGCTGGGGAAAAGATTTAGTCATCTGTTAATTACTTATTCTTCATTTTTACTTCTTTGATCTAAGGAAAGAACCAACAGGTTAAGCAAGGTATTGTGTGATCAAAAGGTTTAAAACGTATGCTTGGGCCGGAGATGAGCAGGGCATGGGGGCTCCTGGTTTAAGGTTAGTTACAATATAGCTTTGCTAAAGTGACAAGACAAAAGGAGCTCTCTCCTGCAGAGAGCTCTTTCCTGCCAAAAGCTGCTTACGTAGGATTTGGTTACTCCCTCCCTGTAGCTACTGGGGATGGTGGTTTCTTCCCTCTACTTCTCCTCCCACCTCTGATTGATATCCAGAGGTGACTCACCTTTTCTAGGGAGAACAGCTGTGTGACTTATGGCAGAATGTGTGTGATGCAAGAGTCGCATCTTTCTCCTGGGGGGACCTTGTGTTCCCCACCAAGCAGGTATATTTTCATCAAATTCAAGTAGGCTATTACCCAAGCTATATATTAGAAATATTTGTGTCTTAGTTTAGAAGTTTTTTTTTTTCCCCCTCAATAAATGAAGGGCCAATTGTCTGTAACAGATTATGTTTATTATTCCCCAGGGGTCCAACAGACTCTTCTTCCCAGCTAACCCTCTTCTTTATTTTCCATGTAGTTATCTAATTTTGCCTTCTCCTACCCATTCTCCTGACTTAACATTTCCTATGACTCTTCACTGAGGCCGTCACACAGCTGACCTTCCCCGACACAGCATCTTCAGTGAACAGTCCAGATTGTTTGTGTGGTATTACCAGAGTCAAGTGCCATCCTCTGAATAAGCTGCATGTTCATGGATGCTTCTTGACATGGAATGAAATTTCCTTAATTGCATTTAGATTTCAGACCATTGCTGTCTTTTTCTCCTTATCTGTCATCCCAACATCTTGTTTTAAGATGACATAACTATGTTTGGAGGTATATTGAGAAACTGGTTTATAGCAAAATATTTTTAGTACATGTAAAATAGAAAAGTTTTAGATTGAATGTTGATTCCAGCTCATCAAAGTCTTATCATAGACCAGTTTTAAAATGTGTGTGTGTGCGTGTAGAGAATAATGTATATATATTTTAAGTATATTCCTAGAATACTTATTGATAATAATAGCACTGATTATTGATGACTGCTTGTATGCCAAGCATGTTGCTTAGTATTTTATATGCATTATCACTTTTATGTCCTCTGAGCACATGAAGCAGGTTATTTACCTCCATTTACAGATGAAGATCTTGAAACAGAAGACCTGAGACACTCAGTAATTTTCCCCATGTATTACCTAGGTACTAGCAGACCCTCAGTTCTAACCAAGGACTTACTGATTCCTGCATTAGTACTTTTAGTCACTGGACAAGCCAATCAAACATTAACTCATTGTATCTTTAGGTCATCACTGAGTGGTATTCTCACGTCATCCTTTAGGCAGCACCAAGAGTCCTTGGCGGCAGAGAGAGAGAGGCGGCGACAGGAGAGAGAAGAAAGGTTGCAGAGAATAGAACGGGAGGAAAGAAACAAATTCAGGTAAGACAGATTTTAAGATTTTTTAAAGAATGAGCTGAAAATTAAATCACATGCCTTCACCATTGCATATGGTTAATATTTATTTTATTGGACACCTAAAAGAAGATGCTTTTCCCACTTTCTGGTTTGTTTCTTACTCCCTGTAGCAATATTTCATATTTTTTAAGCAATAATTTTTCCTTCTATGGGGGAGAAAGAGGCATTGTGCTGATTACTCCCAGCCCATTGTCCCTCTGATTGCTTTGGTCTCTGTCCAGCTCCAAGGATGTGTTCTTTGGTGTGGCCCACTCCAGCTTCCATGTCTTGGCCTATCTGCCCCGCTGAGTCCAGCGTCACTCCTTTTCTCCTTCAGCCAGATCAGCTGTCCCCGTTGCCCGCATCCTCCCGGTCAACCTCCTAACACTCCCTTTGCCTGGGTTCAAGCTGGGCAGTGCTTTATAAAACACCAGACACTTTCCTTACACATTTCATACCTTCTACTATTCTTTTGTCCCCTTTATCTTTCCCCTACTTCCCTCTTGCCTTCCCCATCTCCTTCCTTCCCCCTCTTTCATCTTCCCATTCACCTCTCCCATAGCTTCCACACTCTTTTTTTAATTTCTCTCCCATCTCCACTTCCTTTTTCCTCAGTTCACTTTTTTTGGGAAAAGTATTTCAATCGATTACTCCCAATGAAATCTACAAAGAATGTAAAGCATTGTCAATGAGGATTTACAAGTTCAATGATGTTTTTTTTTCCAGCAGCCAGGAAGAGTACGTAGAATTGTAGAAATGACCAAAACATGAGCAGAGTTGTGAACTTGCCTTGACCGTAACTCACTACTATATGAAAAGAAGTATCCCAAGTCTGTGGGTGAAACACTAATCCTGACTTTTGTAAGATGGGGCTAATGGGCTGCATGAAATAAACCAACATCATTCTCATACCATAATTGTGTGGTATACCTTGAGCTGTCAGATTTCTACCAAATGATATATGGAAAGACCAGACCTGTATGCACCATTTCTCATGAGGTAGCTCTGGAAGTTGTCACTTTTGGAAAGACCAATTTGTAAAACCACTGGAACAGGTTAAATGCTTCCTGATTCAGTGCCTTCTGAGAGATTCACATATTTCACCACCAAATAGCAGCAGAGAATCTGACTGAAACACATGGAAAATTCAGAGATTAGCTTACGCATCTAAAGATTTTGATTGAAAACCTCTTAAAACAGGGTACCAGTTCTGGGAAAGATGGAATCAGCACACTCCCTCCTGTCTCTTCTACCACATTATTCAGTGCAACCATTACTCATGGACAGATTTAAAGCATGGAGCCCTGAGAACTCTGAACTGTAAAAGGGAGCAGGTGAATTGGGGATGGAGACTAGCATTCAAAGCTCCACCAAACCAGTGAGAGTTTACCATTTTTTCCCTCCAATATCACATGGCATGTACTCAACAGCACTCCAAAACTCAGAATCACATACCAAGTGTGAACTGAAAGAGCTGTAAAAGAAGGCCTCTTTTTCTGGACTGGGGAGCTGCAAAAGGAATTCCTGAGGGTCAGAGAGTTGAGAAGTCTCCTGTTTTTTCTTATTTTTTTCTTCTCTCCTACCCCAGCCTCCAAGCAATATTGTTACAGAAGCACAGTGATGGCAGCAGTGTCCAGGCAGGTGCCTAAAACTCTGAGGGAGGGAACCCTTCCTGTGATCAGAAGAGCATGACTGCAGGAGCACTTTTTTTCCTCTCTGTGTCCTCCTGCTGCATTGCCCTATATGCAGATAGAACTACTGAAAGTCTGCAGCAGAGCAGGGAAAATAAAGCCCAAGCTTTCTGGCTAGAGGACCAGGAAGGGAGACCCAGGGAATCCAGAAAATGATGGGAAAGTCACAAAGAGGAGAGAGATCAAGAGAGCAATCCTGAGATCCTCTCTAGTTTTGTGCACATGTGGCTCAGGACCTAAACAGCATACCACAGGCTTTGAGAACTAAGTACAGAGTGGAAGAACACACTCAGGTCCCAGACTGGCCACTGGGTGGTGCATATAAGGGCCTGATGTGAATAGCACTAAAAATATTTGAACACTGAGCTAACATTGGAACTGATATCAGAAGGCAGTCAGAACTTGCCGGCTGAGCTTGACTTAGTTGATTGCCTGCTAAAAGAAAACAATCAAGATTCTTCATAGAATTTAAATAATATCCAGAGTCTCATTACAAAATACCTAAAATGTACAGAATGCAATCCAAAACAACTTGTCATAGAAAAACAGGAAAACTCTTAAAGGAAAAGAGAATCAAAATATGCTAACCACAAATGGACATAGATGTTGTCATTATCAGACAAAGACTTTAAAGCAGTTATTATAAACATGTTCTAAGATATAAAGACAAATACTCTGGAAACAAATGAAAAGTCTCTGCAGAGAAATAGAAGATATAAAGAAGAACCAAATGGAAATACTTATAGAACTGAAAAATACAATAACCAAAATAAAAAATTCATTGAATGGTTTCAACAGCAGAATAGAAATGAGAGAAGAAAGAGTCAGTGAATTTGATGTTAAAACAACAGAAATTCTCCAATCTGAAAGACAAAACAAAATATTGAAAAAAATGAACAGTGCCTCACGGACCTGTAAACAATACATCTAGTATTTATATCTTTGAAGTCCCAGAAGAATAGGACAAGAGTGCATTGTAATATATATTCAGCACACATGTTGGCAGAGTGAGAATTAGACCCGGGCAACCTGTCTTCAGAGATCACGTTCATAGCTATTCACTATTTCCTCTTGGTCATAAAAGGATCTCACTCGTCATTTAAGAGCATAGAGAGACCCTGGCAAAATAATCCTTGTCCAGAAAGGAATGCTGATCATCAGTAAAGACTGCAGAGAACTATTAATTATGATGACTTCAGTTCCATTCTGAAAATCTGAGGATGTGAATGAAAAGAAATTCAAAGAAGGAAATAGGAAAAGCTCTATAGAGTAGTCCCTGGGATTACCCAAATGGCTGATCCTTTATCAACCACTTCATTGATTTAAGTTAGTCATGATCCTTGTGCTTTTTTCTTTGCAAAGCATTCTTATCTGTTGCTATTTTTGTCGAATATGATCTTAAGTTTCCTGGGTTATGGGAAATATTATTTCTAGTGTGGTAAGTGGTGAGAACGGATGTTTATAAATGATAACAAATTTGTGTCTTTGTTGCTTTTTCTCCCTCTCCTAACCTGCTTTAGTTGCTCTGACTTAGTACCCCTTTATATCCAGTTATCAGTGCACAGAGGGGTGGAGTACTTAAGCTACCTTGTGAGGTAGAAAACTGTGATGTCAGAATTCTCCAGGAAAACAAATGGTTAACTGAGAAGTGACTGACCACACAGTCTTAAACTTAGATTCAAGTTGGAACCTCTCCAGTAGGAACAGAAAAACAAACATCAAAATTAGACAAATTTGGACATCTTGTGGATAAAGACAAGAGAGAATGCACAAAGCAAGAGCTTCCAGTGATCCCTGCTTAGAAACCGAGAATGTGAGGGATGCGGAGAAAGAATCCTGGGCCCTGGAAGGAACGTGCAAACTGTAGAGTGCAACACAAAATGGCCAAGACACTTGGGCCCACTCAGATTTAATTCTTGAGGTGAATGTTGGGGAGTTACCAGAGCTTGATTGTATGTTAATCACTTCTGAAAGCTATTGCTTGCTTGTCATTGCCATATTTTATTTATGAATTGTTTTAACTTTTAAAAATGTTTTTATCTCCCCTCCCCTCATATACTTAGTCTTCTTTCTGAAGAGTAATTAGCAAAGTCTCTGAGTGAATCCAGTAATCCCAAGTTTTCATCCCTGTGATTTTATAGAAAACTCATTATATTTAGTGCTTTTAAAGTATAGCCTTTATATTTATTTTTTAAAAATTCAATGACAACCACTTTCCATTTCTGATACGATAATGGGCTTTCATTATATACTCTGTTAATGATTTCTTGGCAATTTTATGAGCATCTAATTCTGTTCTTTTCCTTTCCCATTTCATTTCTTCTGCATATTTCCATTAGCCGAGAATATTTAGACAAAAGAGAAGAGCAAAGACAAGCAAGAGAAGAAAGGTTTGTATTTGTATTTGTTTCTTTCCCATTGTAACCAAATGGCACGTGACTTTGCACTCAACCAAGCATGCAGAGGAGACTGTGTTAATTAAAATATAATAGCTTCATCTAAGACACCTAAGACCTTGGGTACCTGGCATTTTGCGGAACAGAGTGTCCTGGTTATCTCAATTTTCCAAGAAAGTACAGATTTATTATTTAGTCCCCTCATGGTGTGAGATATGTGTCTGTTCCTCCAAAACTGTTCACCAAATAAGCATATTCGTTTGGCATGTTGGCATATGGTATATATTTTAAATGCTTTGCACCACCACTGCTGAGCCTGGGTTAGGTGTCCCTCCTGTGTGTTTCTAAGCCACTGGCTCAGCATTTCTTCAACAAATATTTGAGCACACACACTATGCCATGCACTGGCTGGGGTGCCACACCCTCCTGAGACTCTCCATGGAGATGCCTGGTCATTTGCCTGTCTTCCTACTGAACCGCACTCAGTTCCTGGATGGCAGGAACCACACCTGATTTTCCTTGGTGTCCCAGTGCCCGCCACAGGGCTTGCACATAGCAGGCACTTAAGAAGGATGTATCGAATAAATGAGCAAAGGAACCAACAGCTTTAAAATATTTAAGCTGTAAACCATTTCAATGTTCATTTCAATAGCAACATACTTTGAATCCCATTAAGCCATGCCAAGTTAATGTATTCAGTGTCTGGTAAACTTAGATAAGCACAGGAAATTGTTTTTGGAAGTAGACCAGCAAAAGGCAAGTTTACCCCCTAGCACTGTACAGCCTGCAGTTATTCCCTCCACCACCAGATGGGGTTACTGCATGGAGAGCTGAAAGGCTGAGTTCATGCCAGAGCCAGTCAGGAACCTAAGTCTCTGAATTATGCCAATAAAAAGTGGAATTGTGCTAATTTTTTTTAGACACCATCAGCTAAATAGATCAGGACAGTCTGAGGCAGGGAAGAGTGGATACTGCCTGTGTTCAATTAAAAAATTAGATGCTTACGTCAGCCTCATAAACAAAACCATGGCATTGCTTTAATTCCGGCATTCTGTTAGATTATTGCCATCCTGGTAATCAGTTGTGGCCAGCAAGTTTAGAGTGAAGGTTGCTGGCAAAGAAACAAAGAGACTTTTTTGTGTCTAATTAGTACCTGTTTTTGACATTGGGGGACATGACGTATATACCCAGGTTTAAGAAATCAAATTTTATTTTTTAGATTCCCCACCAGATTCTGCACTTTTTTGAACTTTTGGACAACTTGACTGTCATGTTATGTCTGCACAGGCAAGTCCTCAAAGCTCCTGGAGAGATGACCAGGTGCTGTGTCAAGGTCTGAGCTGATTCAGACTGACCTCAAATTTTTCCCAAATCACTTAGGGCTACTACCTCTTGCCGAGTATTATTTACTGCTCTTTCCCCCAAAGTGGAGCATGACTTATACCTGGAAAATTCATGCAGAGGAGTTTTCCACTCCTCTTCTCTCCCTTGTTGTTCTGCTCTCCGACCTCAGCCCCACACCACCCATCTGCCTGGGCGTTCTTAGCTGGTGCAGGAGTGGGCTCTCCATGGCTCCACGGGGGATTCCTTCCTTACAGCCCACCCCTGTTTCCCCAGAGGTTTGGGGAAGCAGCCAAGCATTTTCCTTTGATTTGGACCAGCCACTTTTCCTGGTTAGTTGGATGCTTGAATTACCTGGTAAAGATGGAAGTGAGGGAGATATACTTTCATCCCTTGTTGGAAAGCAGTTGGGAATTCCTGTTAAGCCAGGAAAAGATAAGATTTCCAAGTATAATGGAATTTGGAAATGGATGGGGAAACTAATGGAGATCAGAGGTGGAAAGAGACATGGAAGAGGACTCTAACTCTTCATGTTTGTTTGGTCCCATGACTCTTTCCCCTAATGCAAAGACTCAAAAAGACAGCAAGAGGCACAGCAGAGGGTTTTTGAGGTTCATATCATCGAGTGTAACAAGATAAATGTCATTTTGCTATTTTGAGGGGTAATGAATTTTTTAATTTAAAAATTTCAATTCATGTCATCTCATTCCATAATTTCAGGCAGTGTTTTATTGATAATGGTGCAGACCCAGAGTAAGTTTCTGTTAGGTTTATTTCTAATTTTTTAAAGTATTATAAGAGAGGATCTCTCTGATATTGATTGACTTGACATTCATGAATAATCCTTTTTTAGGTGTGGTAAGGAATGAGATGCAGGCTGGGAACTATTGGAGTGGGGTGGGGGTCAGGGTGGAGAGTAGTCTGAGGGAGACAGCGGGACATGGAGAGGAGGTACCTTATGGGAAACAGGTTCTGAGGACAGAGTGCAAGGGGGGAAGTTGGGACTGGGCAAGGATTTGGGAAATTATGCCTGAAAGTGATCATGAAGCAGTAAGAGAGGGTTCTGAGCACAGTCTGTGGACAGAGTAGAACTTAGAGGGAGCCAGGTTTTGATTTAATGTAAGGTAGAATTTCCGAGTAGTTGGGTGGCAGGAAGAGTCATTAGTAAGTCGGTATAGTTGAAAGTCAAGCAGGGTTTCTATTGGACCCTGCGAAAAGAGATGATCATATGTTCCCCTGATGGCAGTACCAGCCCTGCCACCTGCAACCCTGTTGGGTATTGAGCTCATACCAAAGTTTGTTTCTGTACCTCCGCCTGAACTATGAGTGCCAAGAAGGTGGGGTTTTTCTTATGTATTATTAAATCTCTAGTGCCTACTGCAGTTTTTAGCACATGACAGGCACGCAACAGAATATTTAATAAATAACGAAAAGACAAAGACATGGACAGAGGCAGGACAACGAGACTATTTCAACAAGGGTAGCAAAGGTGAAAAAGTCTTTTTGGGGGTCTGTGGTCTGTGGATAGAAAACCCAGTGCTTTGTACCTGGGAGGCTACATCAGAGTCTGTGGGTTGGGGGTGGTGTTGCTAGGCAGCCAGAGATGTGACAGTCATCAGATGGGCTGGCGGGCTCCTAGATCAAGTACCACTTACAGTCACTGTCTAAGGGAAGGTCGGGATATAGGTCCAGCTTCCTCCCCAGGTTCTGTGGGAGATAGCTCTCCATGCCGGGTAGCCTGGCTTTCCCCGTGCACGCCCGTTTACCCTCCCCACTCTGGCCCATCTCGGGGGAACACTGAAAGATTTAGTGGTTCTTGACACCTGGGCCTCCCCACCCCTTCCATTTTTTAAAGTTTTTAATTGTGGAAAAATACACATAACATAAAATTTGTTATTTTAACCATTTTTAAGTGTATAATTCAGTAGTGTTAAATACATTCACGTATTTGTGCAACCAGCCTCCAGAACTCTTTATCTGTAGAACTGAAAATTTCTACCCATTTAGTAAGGCCCCGTGCCCCTTCCCCTGCCATCTTTGTTTACCATGTAAACATCCTCGGAATGATTCAGATTAAACCCCTGACTCTCCCCCTGTCTAAAGGATCCTCAAGGATGACATCTGTGAGCCGAGGGGTGCACGGGAGTAGTCTTCGAGTCATATCTGCCCAGAACCTGGATGAGCCACCCCTGGGGTCCCCCGGAAAATGGGGTGAACCCTTTGGCTGCCAGTACATACCTGCTAGCTTGGCTGCCCACAGGGAGGGGAATGGAGAGGCCAGGTCCAGGGCCAGGCCAGCTGAATGGAGGTTAGTGATCGGTTGTCCTCCTGGCCTGAAGTCTTTTGTGCGAGGCTTTCTTACCTCTCTCCCTGGACCCTTCTGATTTTGTTAGGGCACTGTTTCCCTCCTCCAGGATTCCGATCTCCTGGACATGTGCAGGCCCCTTGGTTTGCACTTTGTTCCTTCCTGTCCCCCATCCTGTCGCAGACGGCTTGGCCTCCATGTGGGGACACCTGTGCTCAGGAACTCCTCCTGGGCTCGTAGCATTCCTGGCCTTCCGTTTGCCCCCAGACTTTTTAAAATATGGGCTCTGACTCTTGCCCTCAAGAACACTTTCTTCCACGTTTCCTGTCACTTCCACAGCCAGGTGGTTTTTCCTTGCTGGTCTGATTCAAGTTCAGAAATATCTTCCTTTTGGTCCCTCTTGTGCTGTTCGAGAGGTGACATTGTTGGCAAGGAAAGTCCAGAGTTTCTAAAGCTTTCTTTCTGGGTCTAGCTTCGCCCGGTAAGGGTGACGCAGACGTTTGTAAATGCAGATCCGTCCCACATCTTTTATCAGAGATTCACCATGAAAGTACACTTACTTCCCAGGAAAGTGCAGTCAGCTGGCTCTGCCCCCTGGTGCCCTGGGCTGCAGGGAGACGTACAGGTAGGCTACTGCTTGGCAGGTCCCTCACTGCACACGTCGCCTGCTTCCCGTCGGCCAACGAATGCACAGTGCCGAAGGAAAGAGCAAAGGATGGTAACCTTCCTGGTCTCAAAAATCCTATCATCTGTTTGTTGAACACAGACCTACACACGTGAAAAGATGACTACATATGCCGGGCAGTAAATGTAAAATGCCATCTGAGTTGAATGGACTACATATCCGACATGAGTTCAGAGGCAAGGCCAGGATCACTTCCAGCTGTGGTGGTCAAGGCAGGCCTCCCGGAGGGAGACGCGTGTGCGAGCCTGTCCTGAAGGGCAGACTGACTGCCTTGGGACTGGCAGAGAGAAGGGGTGATGACTACAGATGTGGGGGGCCACGCCCCCCAAAGGATGGACGAAGAAACGCGTCCTTTTTAAATGCATCCTTCTGAAAGGTTTTACTTGTGCGCTCTGCCTTTCTTATCAGGCTGAAGTAAAAGTGCGGTGTGCAGTGTCTGGGGGTGGGGGCCTGCCCATTGGAAGAAACTGAAGCAGTGAACCTGGATGGATGTGAGGGAGGGTCTGGAATAAGCTGTCTCAAAGTTTCATGGTGGGTACGATAGTCAGAAACCTGCTACAGCTGAGTTCATAAATTTATTCCTGAACAAATAATGGTGGGTAAAATTAGCAGACATCTGGAAGAGGCACATATTTCAAAGTTATTTTGGTCTGATCTATAAAGCACACTATGAGGAAGGTGATTGGTAGCTGGTCTTAATAAACAGTTACTGGGTTCTGCCTGCCTGAAATGCAAAACAGATGTATCTTTGTTCTTTTAAACTGACTTTGATGAATAAACTATATGTGACGTCAGGTCCAAGCTATTGGATGTCTGAGTCCTACTCAGAAATATTTTAGAATATAAAAAACTTTCCATGGTCGACACCGAGAGAACAAAGTGAATTCCAGCCACATTGCTGTTAGCATTGAAGCAGGTTCAGAAATCCAGAGAGGGCTTCGTCCAACAACCTTTTGGTATTTTGGGGCATTGTTCCTCTCTGCCGCACCAAGGCACCCTCGCATTTCACAGCTGCGAGCTCTGAGGGAGTGTGGTTTTCAGCTGTCACTGCTGGGGCTTTTTGATGGTCATTATTGCTGTTTTGCTTGCTGGTACAAATGTTTCCTAAAAGAGCAAAATAGGATTCTGCAGCAGGGATCTAGTATCTGGGGACTGTGATGTTGCCACTTCCCCCTGTTTGTTTGGTTATGAATGATGCAGGATTTTTAATCATTAGCATCTTGGCTTTGCTGGGTGTTTTTGGCAGACGGGCCCTCCAGCCAGCCCTGCGCTGTGCTCTGTGCATCAGGAAACCAGCTCACTCTGCAGGTGTTTCATCCATAAACAAGCATCAGCCACGGGCTCCTCTTTCTTTTTACGGAAACCCTTTGGAATTTAACTTTCAGATACAAATACTTGGAGCAGTTGGCAGCTGAGGCGCATGAGAAGGAACTGAGAAGCCGAAGTGTGAGCCGGGGCAGAGCTGACCTCTCCTTGGACCTGACCTCACCGGCAGCCCCTGCCTCACCCGCCCCCCTGAGCCGTTGCCCTTCATCTCTAGACTCGCAAGAGGCTCTCACAGTATCATCTTCCTCCCCAGGAACAGCTCAGCATCCCCAAGGTGAGTGCAGGGAGAGCAGAGGGGAACTGATGAGTTAATTAACATCAGACAGGCTTCTTCTGGGCAGCAGTAACCATTCCTACATGCAAACTCATACTGAGAGGCAACTAATGGGAGGCTTCGGGGGTGACTGTGACCTGAGCTGTCCCTAATAACTAGGGGTCTGCACAGCCACTTACTAAAGCAAAATTATTTATTGTAAAGATTGCAGTGTGTGATCATTGAAAAGGGAGAATGCCAAAAATAAGACTTACTTTGACATTCAATCCTAATTCACAGGGTAGTAAGTTAGGATTAATTTATTACTCTGTAATTTGCATGTTATTTATCTATTGGATCTGCCCGATAAAGTGACCCCTCTTAAATGTTTCTCCCGTAAGAATTATTGGTCTGGTTTAAGTTAAACTGATGGAGGATAAAATTAATCAAAGTGAGCAAAGAAACGTGGACCTCGTGAAAATAGAAGTTAAATATTGAAGAAGAAAAAAATAGACTATAGTAAAGATGATTGGCACATGGTGTGGGGCGGGTGTAGATGCCTGTGTGCAGTCAGACAGGCTCTCGCTGGAGAAAGTCCCTCTTGTCTTAGCTTATCTGGAGAAAAACAATGATACTGTACACTGCAGCCTTGGAGCATCAGCAGTTTTCCTGATGGCTCTGCGAATTGTGGGTCCGTTTTCTTTCACATTATCAAGGAGGATGGTTCTCGGCTACAGGCACCTAACACTGCGTGTTGACTAGCTCTGCAGCCAGAACTGTTTGGTTTAATTGAGTGTTATGGCTTGCAGCCTGATGTAGACTTAGCCAACTGAAGACAACAGAGACACTAAACTTTTAACTCTATGAGGGTTGACTAAATATGGCGTAAAGTCTAATTTAAACAAGGCAGGACTCCATGACCTCAGCAGAACTGGATGTAATGGAATAATCTTGTCTGTCCAATTCTTTGCTGGCTCGCTGAGCCTCAGGGCTCAATCTGCTTGAGCAGGCTGGTCGCACCCCAGCTTCCCATCACATCCAGTCACTCCTGGTCCCTGAGCCATGGAAGATTGTTGCGGGCAGATGGCTCAGTCATAATGAGTAATGTCAGTCTTAAAATATTAAGGCTCTGAGAATCAGGAAAACAGACTGCTCTGTAACAGCAGTGTGCTTTTCAACTTTGTCTGATATCACTGCTCTATCTAAATTGTGGTATTTCCAGAGGCAATATAAAAAATATTCCCCTGCAAAGCTGTGGCTCAGGACTTAATCTTGGGACTTTTAACTCTAAGAGTTGTATCTGCAACACTTTACAGAATGGTTTTGTCCAAACTGTGAAGTACAGAATGGCCCCAAGCTGAGAAGGAATTGTCAGTATCTGTAAATATTGTTTGTCCTCAAGATTTTTAATCTGCTTGATGTTTGTGGCAAAAAGACAGTTCCTCAAGCATTTTGTACAGTTATAGTCAAACTTCAGGCCATCCTATCCCATTAAAAAGACAATATTTTAAACTTCAGTAAGAACATAGAAAATACTTACTTTGTGTACACATAATATGCATTTGGGGAAAATAAAGTTATTTCAGTATGCTTTCAGAGAGATAAATAGCAAATGTCATTTTCCTTTACAGAGAAGGGATTAATAGAGACTAAGAAAATGTTTTGACTGAAATCACACCATAAGTGGTATCTGCATCAGGAAAAGGAATACTGGGCTTCAATTTAGACATAATTAAAAATTAATAAAATAGCATTGACGTTTGCTTTTTCCTTGGGGGGAGGGGGGAAGCAGTGGCTCTTGTAGAATCTAGAAGTGCTGCCCATCGTATGTTAACTCATTATCATCCAAATCAGTTGGAACCCGCAAAGTATTCTAACACCTTGTCCTAATACATAGCTGAATTATACAACTGGAAATTCTAAGGGTAGAAGAAGAAATGCTATAAAAGGATGCTGTCAAAGAGAACTGCTGAAGCTTCCTCCTGATTTGGAGCCTTTGCCCTTACGACAGAAGCCTTTCTGTATATATGACAGAAAGGTTTTTCTCAGCCTGGTTTGTTATCATTCTTGAAAGCATTCTGCCAGCTCCCAATTAATAGTCTAAACTTTTCACCAGGTCCCATTTTCAAAGCTCAAAGTAATTTTTTGCTGATCCCTAATATTTAGAATATTCTAACAGCTGAAGGAAGAATACAAAATATAATCACACATCCAGATGTTTGTCCTGCACCAAACACCTGGCACGTGGTCCAAACGTGCCGGGGGTTGACTCGCTTTTTCACTCTTTATCCTTGTGGAGTCATATGCTAATAATTCATCTCACATTTTTGTAGTGCTCAGGGCCTTCCTTCCAAATGCTGCTATTTAATACCTTGTGGTGCATCTCAGTAAGTAGGGGAAATGCTATTACCCGTGTTTTACTGAGGCTCAAATAGATGGAAGATGTGCTTCAGATCTTGTTGATGCCATGCTGAGAGTATAAACCACTGCCTTGACTTCCAACCAAGCCATTTATCAGGGCATCATGGTACCGTGACATTCGTGGTGGTGCTCCCCCGAATGCCAAGCCATCCCCTTGCTGACCCTCTCCCCAGTATCTGTAAAAATTGTGATCTACATTTCAGAATTACATCTGTTAAAAAAAAAAAAAAAAGGGAAAGCAGGTATTTGTTCCTGAATTATATATACCTCAGGGTTAAAGGTCACTTGGTGAGTGCTTACTTGGATTCTGGAGAACTTTTGATAGCAGAAGATATGGAAACATTAAAGCTTTCTTTAACCTTTTCTCTTACAAAATATATTTACAAAGAGGGGAGGGCTAATGGTCAAATACCTGTAGCATTATGTGCCATCTAGTGAGATCTTTCAGCCCAAAACCTTCCCAGCTCTAACTTTTGTGTAAATTATGCCACTGCTCTCACCATCAAGTCAGCGTGTGCTTGAATTATTTTCCACCCGGCCCTCTTGTGGTTCACAGCAGGCGTTTGTTCCAGCGGTGCCTAAGCTTGGTGGGGACGGTCTGAATATTCTTCCTTTGTGTGGAACTATCAGGCCCAAGTGATGAACAAACATATACATGTCTTCTCATTTTCAGCGTGCTCTAATTAACCGAGACAGTTAGCCCCCATTTTAGGTAAACATGGAAGGGCCTCACTCTTCATCCATTGCTTTAATTACCCTTTCCTTATTTTCACTGAGCCTGGTGTCCACCAGAATTTCTATAATAAGTTTACTTCCTATTATTTTAAGAAACTTATAGACGACTCTGGAAACAAGTTATTCTCACTAGTTAGAGAAAAAGGCACAGTGTTCTCACTGGGCTAGAGTGACTTCGATGTGACTCTTGAGGAGGTTATTCTGAGGATTAAAGATAATGATAATCTCTGGACCCACAGTGATGTCAATACAGCAAGGTAACCTATCAGGCCAGTGGGTGTCAGATCTAGGTAACTTATATTGTGGAAGCAAAGTGGAGAAAACCAGTCACCTCAAAACCAGGTTGAAGATGGTCCCTGCAGGGTGTCCCAAGGTTGAACTGCCTTCTGTGGAAGCTAGAACTATGTTCTTTCCAGGTTCCCTGGCTTGCATACCTGAGTCCCTCTTGAGGCTAAATGGAGAGAAATGACCATTTCCCAGTAAAAGGAAGCTGCTGCCAAGAGTTTACGAGGTGCTTTCACTCATTGATATAGCCATGAAAGCATACATAACGGCTAGATTATTTTCCTTATTTTTAGCTCAGTACTCTCTATTTTGCACACAGAAATAATGTTAGAGATGCATTTAAAATTTTTACCATACTCTATTAATTTTATGTCAAGGATAAATATGTTCAACAGTGATTTTTTTTCTACCTGTAATCAATCCCTAGATATTTCCAAATATCTCATTGTTTGGCCCTGAAGATATAAAATATGGCTTATATGGCCATGGCCTATTCACCAGCACTCAGCTGGATGCACTTACAGAAATTATGGACATGGTATACTAATATTTTCTCTCACAGATCCAAACGTTTAAAGTACTGGAAAATATGATAGTTCCTCTAGCTTCCTGATCTTCACACCTGGAAATAAAATACAGACATATAGTTATCAGTTTATTTAAATGAATAATCATTTTTCATCATTTTCATTTATCATCACGGCTGTTGTCATTGTTACCAGTCATTGACTGAGCATCTTTGTCACCTTCATTGTGTAACATGTTTTCAGTTTCCTTCAGGTATAGAGTCACTCTCCTAGGTTACCCAGTCCACATGGCAGAAATCAGAAACGTCTAACATCCTATTTCCAGAGGGCACGGTAGCAATGGAATATTGTCAGTCATCAGCCTAATGCATGCTGGTCCCCTTGCATAAAGATTCTGGACACCTCCAGTCTAGTATTTCATGAATTGGCAGGAAACTAGATTCCTTGTGGCTCTATGACTCAGGGCCGCCCCAGCTCCCCATAACTCACCTGACTGCTGCTACTTAATGCCATTTGGTCAGTGAGACAGAATCTCTTAGGAACTCACCCCAAGGCCAAGGCCCTGCCTTCAAAACCTGCTGTGGAACTTTTTTGAGAGCCTTCACGAATCATTGGGTTTTTCTGCTTGCCATTTCTCTGTCTCTAAGAAATGGAAAAAGGCAAAAACTTTCCCTTTTTTCCTGCTACAGAGAACGACAGTTGCCTACAATGTGTTTTCTTGTACCAAATTTTAAAACATTAAATAGTCTTGAGTTTTTTTAAAGCAAAGTATAAATCTTACCTGAAGTATACCTAAGTAAAGATAAGGAACAGAATGGCATTGGGAAAGTTTTTTTTTTTTAATTTTATTTTATATTTTTTTTATACAGCAGGGTCTTATTAGTCATCAATTTTATACACATCAGTGTATACAAGTCAATCCCAATCGCCCAATTCATCACACCACCACCTCCAACCCCCGCCGCTTTCCCCCGCTTGGTGTCCATACATTTGTTCTCTACATCTGTGTCTCAATTTCTGCCCTGCAGACTAGTTCATCTGTACCATTTTTCT